TTGCTTACAACGTATGGCATCCATTTCTTCTTTTTTCCTTTCTAGATTCGACAGACGCTAAAAATATACCAGTAATATATTTATATGAATTTACAACATTCACATACATTGTAATAATCATGTTATAAAACAATAGGTAAACTTAATTTCAATCCATATATTTGTACTATGCAGTTATATTATGACAGGATTTGTAACATTGTTTGAAACAATAAATTTTATTTGTACCAGATTTTGAATGAAAACAAATCAAAGATATATAGCCCTATAGCTGAAATAAAATCATAGTGAAACTAATTATAGTTCAAAAGATCTTAGCTAAGAGAACATAAACAGTATATAAATAATTGAATAGAATGAGAAGGAAGTTTGAGAAGATTCATTCGGATACTATTAGTTAAAACTGGCAACTAAGCTCATGGAAATAGGTTTTACCGTTATTGTGCAAACGGGATTTTTAGTTCTCTGGCACTACATTTAATTTATATCTGTGAAATTGGGTAAGTTGGTCATTCTAATACTGATGAAAGAACTTCGATAATATATATTCATCTGTGAAATTTCAATCTGAAACCTCCAATGGGTTTTTTATTATATCCTGGACTATCAAAACCCTACGGCTAGATATATGGATATTCTGAATCCAGTATACTGCCCTTATTACTTTGTTGTGCTGGAAGCATTTAATAAGAGAGGCTAATATAAAAGAAATAAGGCTAAACACAATTACTTCAAAAATTAACTTAGTCGCTATGTTTCTCTGCCACAGTTTATGCGCCAGCAAGACTAACAGGCATGTGCGTTATTGATTTCATCAACAATAACATTTAGGTGTTACAGCTGTTACATTTAAAAAAAACAAATCAAAAATACCTGTTGCATTGATGCAACATTTGTTTCAAGTCTTTCGACCCTTTGCTTCAAAACTTCGCAGTCATTCCTCGAATATTCCAAAACATTTGCTCTGACAGATTCCGTTATCTTTTCAATATTGTCTGTCAGCTCATCAGTATGCTGAATGATTGATGCTATTGAAGCTCTACATACTTCAGACTCGCTATGTGTGGTTATAATGAAACCCTTGTTCTTCAACTGTGTTAAATAGATATTCATTTGTTTTCAACGTTATTTTAAAGCTATAAATGATCCTGATTCAGTTTTTTTATCAACCAGATGAAGATGTTTTATATTTTAATAATAGGTACTTGGATGGTGAATTAAATATTATGTTTTCTGAGTTAAATATACCATTTTAGTAACCTGGAAAAATAAAAGCATGTAAAAACTTAAACTCTGGGAAATCAGCAGGTTCCGACTACTTATTAAATGAATTTTTTTAAATACGGTTCCTGTTCAACTCATTTTGTAAATACTCTAAATAATCTTTTTAATAAAATATTTGATTAAGGTTACTTTCCCGGAACAATGGACCGAAGGCTTATAGTACCGCTTCATAAAAAGGGTGACATTAATGACCCAAGTAACTATAGAGGAATTACTTTACTAAGTTCTTTTAGGTAAATTATTTTTTACAAAATTTAAATGATAGATTAAATACTTGGGCAGAAAAATATCACGTCTACATTGAAGCTCAGTCCGGTTTTAGACAACAAATGGGAACCATAGATAACATTTTTGTTTTGCACGGCCTTATTACATATATGTTGAATAACAATAAGAAACTATATGCTGCGTTTGTTGATTTTACTCAGGCTTTTTGACTATTTAGTTACAGATATTATATGGTTTAAATTAATTAAATATGGTGTAAGAGGTAAAATGTTAGACGTTATTAAATCAATGTACGAAAGTGTAGGATCCCAGAATAAAATATCAAAAATGTTTGAGTGAAGAATTTTCATGTGTGTTAGGCGCCCCCAAGGAGAGTCTTTATCATCTTTTTTTTCGCCATGTATCTTAATGATATAGAAGAATATTCTATTATGAAAATTTGAAGGAGTTGATTTAGGTTTCTTAAAATTGTTTTACATTTATATGCGCAGATGATATCGTTATTCTATCTGAAACAGAAGAAGGCTTACATAAAGGTTTATTGTTATTTGGAGAATTATTGTGATAAGTGGAGATTAACTGTAAATATTAAGAAAACTAAAATAATGATTTTCAGAAAAAGGCAGATTAAGACATAACATTTCATTCGTATATAAAGGAGAAAATTTAGAAATTGCCGAAAAATTTACTTATTTAGGAGTAGTCTTTACAACTGGTGGATCTTTTAATACTTCTTTTGAAACATTATCTGGTCAGGCTTTGAAGGCATTATATAAAATTACAACTAGAATTTGATTAATTCCCATGTATAACTGTGAAACATTAACTAGACCTTTTTGATAAATTGATCTCACCAATTTTGAATTTATGCTTCAGAGATAAGCGGTATATATGATTGTTGATAAATTAGAAAAAGTGCATTTAAATTTTTTGTAAAAAAATGTTAGGCGTCAAGACTACAAACTCAGAACAATTTTATTTATGGTGAATTAGGTAGAACAAATTTGAAATGCAGAGAATTGTAAGTGTAATAAAATATTGGCTTAAAATTATACAGCTTGAAGATATAAAATATGTTAAAATAGTTTATGATTTATTGTACAGAGAGTTACAGGTAAGACCTAACAAAAAAACATGGGTTAGAAGTGTTAAAGATTTATTACAGTCGCTTGGTTTTAATGATGCATGGTTATCTCAAGGCGTAGGCAATGTAGATGTATTTATTAGTTTAGTAAAACAAAGAGTAAATGATGTTTTTATCCAAAATTGGTTTTCAGAAATAAATAACTCAACTAGAGCTCGTACATATGTAATATTTGCAGATTTTAAATTTCAAAAGTATTTAAACTGTATTAATATTGAAAAATTTAGAATTGCTCTGTCCCGGCTAAGAGTTTCTTCACATAGACTCGAGATTGAAACCGGCAGGTGGAATAAACCTAGTGCTAACCTTTTGATGATAGGAAATGTAAAAAATTGTTTTATTTTGGAAGATGAATTTCACTTTATTTTAGAAATGTTCTCTATATAATGAATTACGAAAAAATATATAAAAAAACACTTTTGGAAAAGACCAAATATACTTTATAGTTAATCAAAAGTTTGTCCCAAACGCTGTATAACTGTATCTTACATACACTTATTTTCGTTTTGTTTTGTGATTTACTTCCTTATTAATAGGATGGTATCTTTCCTTAGTATTTATTTACAAGTATATGAATTGAGACATGTTGATAGTATATTCTATCTATAGTTTACGTTTTCTGATTGCTAAAATACTGTGTAACTTAATGATATATGTTTTATAAAGTGTGACATTGACCATTTGATTGTATTGTATGCTTTGTTATATGTACTGTGTATGCATGGACATATTGTCCAAATGTACTTTGAAATAAACTTGAAACTTGAAACTTTGTTCTTAGCACGTGTGTTTATTCTTAACTAATAGTTTTTCAAACTTATTATGATTTATACATATTTGGATTTCCAATTGTAAATTTTTATAAGAAAATATAAAGACTATTTTTCAAACACTTGAAAAATTTGAAGATTAAAGTGTTTGATTTAGTATGTCTGATGTTATAAATTATACAAATACATCAATCAAAACCAGAATATGTAACATTTGTACCAACAGGTTTGGGCAAACTTCACTATTTTACAGTGTCCTTGACTGTTATATAAGCAATGATAGACATAATGTCGTCAAAATCCGTACAGCAACTATATCTTCTGGTGGTGTAGTTAATACTGATCTTGACTATTGACTTACTGTTCTAAAAATCAATATCAACAAACAGGTAGTGAGTAATAACCTCATGAAATCAGAGAATTGAAGAATTATGATTTGTCAAGTTATTCATGATGAGGGACGGCCACAGTGACCGTGACATTTTATTGACTAATACACTGACGAACTTTGAAAACGCATCAGTTGGGTTTTTGCTTTTTATAGGGAAGAGCATATATTAGATTTTTTTTTTTACTTACTGAAGGACACATGTGTCTATAATTCTCAGTTTAAAACATGTTACTGTCACTGCCTCTATTGTTCTAAAGGCAGCATGTTTATGCATAACTGTTTCAAAACCCATCCATAATTAATTTATGAAAAAAACAACCATCTATTCATATCCATGACTTTTGACGTATAATGGTAACCTCGACCTTTGAGCTGGAAACCTAACATTAAAATGCAACATGTTTATGCAAAAGCTTTTTTGTTGTTGTTGTTTCAATTCCTAGATTAACGCAAATGCCATATTAGTAATTCTAAAAAAATGCATACAAAGCCACGAACAAAATCTTCGGCAAGTTTTGTGAAATATCGAGGTCGATACGATGAACGAGTAAAAGTTACTACGCATAGCCACGTCCGGAACAAGTACAACTCTTCGCAGTTGACACACCAACCAATGATTTAATGTCGAAAATAATTTCAAAAATAAAAGGTTTCTTCAACATCAAGGTCAGACTAATTAAATCCCTAGAATGTAGTTTTAATTATTACAAGGTATCCGACCCTCTGTTCATTGTTTTAAAATATCGACAGCCTTGTACTTTATCACTTTGATTGAATAAATTCAATATTGAGTGACACTCTGATCCTCTCTGATCGAGTCCTCATATATTTGCAGAGTAGCAATATAAAAGTACCACGGATAGCTGTGTATTGATATGAATGCAATTCGAACAAGAAACATGGCAATGCCATGAAACCAGGTTTTCAATTATCACCATTGTAGATAAATATGTTGTATTTGAAATACAAATACAAGCAACAAACAATGTAACTATGTGCAATGTAAAACATGAATAATGTAAAAGGAATTGCCACTGAAGAAGTGTTCACTATATATTCTGTATAAGGAAAAAAAACAAAGGGCCATAATTAGGTCAAAAATTATCCAATCACAAAACCCCGACAATATGTGCCAGGGCACTTGATGACAAAGCTTCTGTGAAAGTTTGAACAAAATACGTTGAGAAATGTAGGATGAGTTCAGCACAGAAGAATGTGTACACTATATATTGATAATTCTGTATAAGGAAAAAAAACAAAGCGCCATAATTAGGTCAAATATTATCCAATCACAAAACCCCAACAATATGCGCCAGGGCACTTGATAACAAAGCTTCTGTGAAAGTTTGGTCAAAATCCGTTGAGAAATGTAGGAGAAGTTGCGCACGATAGAAATTGTTCACTATATATTCTGTATATGGAAAAAAAACAAAGGGCCATAATTAGGTCAAATATTATCCAATCACAAAACCCTGACAACATGCACCAGGGCACTTGATGACAAAGTTTCTGTGAAAGTTTGGTCAAAATCCGTTGAGAAATGTAGAGGGAGTTCAGCACAGAAGAAAATGTTCACTATATATTCTATATAAGGAAAAAAAAACAAAGGGCCATAATTAGGTCAAATATTATCCAATCCCAAAACCCCCGACAATATGCGCCAGGGCACTTGATGACAAAGGTTCTGTGAAAGTTTGGTCAAAATCCGTGGAGAAATGTAGGAGGAGTTGGGCACAGAAGAAATTGTTCACTATATATTCTTTATAAGGAAAAAAAACAAAGGGCCATAATTAGGTCAAATATTATTCAATCGCAAAACCCAGACAACATGCCCCAGGGCACTTCATGACAAAGCTTCTGTGAAAATTTGGTCAGAATCCGTTGAGAAATGTAGGAGGAGTTGCGCACAGAAGAAATTGTTCACTATATATTCTATATAAGGAAAAAAACAAAGGGCCATAATTAGGTCAAATATTATCCAATCCCAAAACCCCGACAATATGCGCCAGGGCACTTGATGACAAAGCTTCTGTGAAAGTTTGGTCAAAATCCGTTGAGAAATGTAGAAGGAGTTGCGCACAGAAGAAATTGTTTACGCCCGCCCGCCCGTCCGCCCGCCGACATACCTCAATCTAATAACCAGTTTTTTCCTTCGGAAAACCTGGTTAAAAATCAGCGGATATAGTAATAATTGAAGAAAATGAAAAAGGAATTGCATACACGAAAAATTCATTTTATACATTATCAAATACTACAATTCTGCTCCATAGTATGTACTTATTTGAAGTGAATTCACAAAAGGATTAACCTATTTGAAAAACGGAGATAGCTGTTAGAAATGAATAATTTATGTAAGGTCTGTAGTTAGTAAAATTATCCAAAACATAAACACATATTTAACGTAATTTATTTGAAGTCCGATAACCTTATTTTTTCCTTAAAACGGTGGGCAATACAGCAATCAGCATACAAATTGCTGATAAACAAGATATGATTTACCTCTTTCAAGTTAGAAACAGCTTGTTTAACGTCGTCTAATGATTTCAGTTCCTTATCATCTCCAAGAATGTCAAGAATGTTATCTATGCATGTGTTAAACTCGGTGTCATCAATCTCCATATTTGGCGAATGGAATATATCATTTCGTATTTGCAAAGCCTGCAAAATAAATAAGATTTAATTAATGCCCTATTTCATTCAACCTAAGTGTTGTGTTTTATCTCATACCAAACAAGTTCGTCTTGCCGGTTATATTTGCTTGACCTGGACAATACATAAATAAGATTTTATGCTCACATAAAATTATTTATGTCATTGGTCCCTATTCTCATTACTGTACAGAATATTACCCGTTATGCGTCGGGTTTTAGCTAAGTACGTCTTAGCCAATCGATATCAAGACCTAAATCATGTGATGTTAATTAACCAATGATTACATAAGATCTATCACAAAGAAATAATTTTGGCGAGGAATGATTCTCGCCATTCTTTATTTCTAAAATTCACCTCCTCCAATTCCATCCTCTTTCAAATTTTGTTGTTGATATAAATACCAATACAGTCGTTTCTCTTATTTTTCATCTCAAAATACTTATGCAACTATTTATGATGTACACCATAAATATAAATGTATATTGTTCATGCAAAGATTGATAAAACTAGTCGATGTTATATTACCTCTTTCAAAAATTTTATTGGTTGTCATAAATACTTATGAATACACTTATTCATGTATAGAATGTGTTAAATATTTTTCAAGGATGTAGCCCTGCATCAAGTGGTACTTGACACAAGATAAAAGGCCGCACAGGTTTCCAAACTATGGTTTTTCCTGGGCGAGTCGACCACGATTTGAAAACTATTTTTTGGTCAATTGTTTTTGATCAGCAATCCATATTATTATATTTGTTTAGGTGGTTTTTGGTTAATCTTTGTCATCTATTATGACTTTTGCTAAGATTGTTGTCTATTTGAAAGTTTATTTTGATTTTGTGGTTAATCATTAGATTACAATGTATATCATAATCTTGCGGGTTTTATCTCCCAGTTTGGTTATTTCGATACAAAATTAATATGTACATGCCATGTTTGTCATTATGTAACATTTGTCATTTATGGCATTTTTTCCTCCCAGTTTGGTTATTTCGATACAAATATGTACACGCCATGTTATTATGTAACATTTGTCATTTATGGCATTTAATAAATGCCTTATTTCATTCAACCTAAATGTTGTGTTTTATCTCATACCAAACAAGTTCGTCTTGCCAGTTATATTTGCTTGACCTGGACAATACATAAATATACATGTATTACAGTGAAAAAACTACTTAAAAATAATGATAGAAGTAAAGATCTATCATAGCAGAAGTTTATTCTTGTTCTACATCAAATCTAAAATTATAACCTGTTGAATAAGTCACATAATTTACCAATGTTAATTATTTTTATAATTGCACAATAAATGCATAATACATGTAGTTGCAGTGAACTTCCATGCCAAAACGATCACATTTAGCAATTCTAAGATATATGACACACAAAGAAAATAAAGATATAAATTTTTGTGTTTTCTTATCAGTAAGAAGATTTCTGAATAATGTCTAAAATTAAATAATGTGTGTTTTCAATTTCAAACTGATTAACATAAATACCTTTTTCAATCGATCTGTTGAAGTAACGCTGCATGAAAAGTGCTCGTGAAAACTAAAGTTGTAGATGAAGATATGTAATAACCCTGATAAGTCAACATCAGCTATGCCAGTTTTTGATGAATATCCCGGCGCTTGTATAAAGCATTTGGCTATTTCCCAAGGTGAAACAACCCATTTCTGTATATCTGTATTTCTCCAGTTGGGTTGAGGCGGTGTCGATGCGTGATTGTTCAATACTTCTTCCAAAACAATATCGCATATTTTATTCGGACATGGTTTTGCTTTTAAGTCCATACAACTGCAATGGGTTTGAACCAAGGGGCAAAAAGGTCTGCCGCTGGATTGATCTTTAATGCATCTGTGTATTGGTCGTAATGTTTTGATACAACACTGGTTGCACGGGAGACCAGTTGTATGTCCTGCGACACTTAGAATTCTCTGATGTTCCTGTTTAACAATTTTATCTGCAAACCCTTTTATACCTTCCCTAAAATATTTCAAAGCTAATCCTCCTTTCACCCAATTTCTATACTTCGTTTTCTCTATTTCACTTTGATGACTCATTGTTTTATGACGTTTTTATCTTTATCTGAAGGTCAATTTCGTTTTCCCGTTTACTTGCACTTAAATGAAGAAAAACAATAACATTTTACTTCCAATCATGTATATATATATAATTCGTTTCCCCTTCTCTTTCACTTAAATGAATAAAAACAATAATATCATTTCTCTTCTCATCATGTTAAATTCAAAGTAGAAACAATCATAATTGAAACTGATTAAAGTCTATAAACTGTTAAAACAACAAATAAAAGAATGTCAAAATAGCTCATAAAATCAAAACATATACTTAATACATGTAGTTCTAAAAGAATGTTTTTAAAACATTGTAAAAGAATTTCACAACATATGAATGATAATATGTTATCTTTACGAAAATAGTGTTTCAATATTAATACCTGATATCAAAAATCTTTCCGATCTTGAGAACCGGCCATGTTTGGGCGTTAAACCGGATAAAATGAACGATCTAATCTTGTAGGGCGAGATTACTGCGTGGGAGTTTGATAGTCAATCGCATTCTCGGTCCTTAAATTTCCGTTATTTGCTATTTCAAGTTATGATAAATTTATCTCCAAGTGAGCTAGTATTGCACATGTTACACACTAATTATCTTGGTATATTACAAAATCTACCAGACACAACAGGCAATTTATGATACAATATTACTACAGATGGTGATATAGGATTCACTTTTGTAAATTCTATTATTCAGACATTTAATCGATTCTGAGATTTCACTTTGCCAATTTTGAATGAATTGGTCTTTAAGTCTATTTTTAAAATTTTCTTAAACAATGGAAGAGAAGTGGCAACATTATTAATTTGATAAATCTAGTGAATCTCTGTAATTTACAAACACTCGTCCACGGGAGTTACAACACATTTTTGGTCTAATAAAGATTAACCTGACTGTAAATGCCATAAAATAAAATGACAACGATTTGACAGTGAATTTAGTGCTGTTTGCAGCTCCAGCAAATATTACTGTTTCGACAGCATATATAAGTACATACAACTTAAACATCAGAATCACTCAGGGTATTGTAAATAGATCCAGACCATTAAAATGTTGTGAAAGAACAAGAGCTGTCACACAAGTGACGAATGCACCCGAAAAGGTTTCTTAAGCATGCAGGTATTATGAAAAGAAAAGAGAATGAAAGTAACTATTTGCTGAATATTGTTTTTTGTATTATTGTACCTGTAATTTCTAATTGTGATAGCATGAACCTTCAAAATATAAGTGTGACCTTGACCTTTGAAGAAGGGACGTGGTTCCTGGACGCGACAAAATGTAGTTATGAGATAGACATTTGTGCCAAATTATTTCATAATCCCTCAATGCATGACAAAGTTACAGTCTGGACATGATTGTTGTGTAAGTAGAGAAACACGGACAGACGGACATGAACCTTAGCCACGACACATTGTCATGATGTGGTAGATTTGTGCTAAGTTATTTTAAAATCTTTTCATGCATGACAAAGTTACAGTCCGGACATGTATGTTTATCTTCAAACTCTTCTCAAGAGAATAAGTACCTCCAAACTATAAGCGTGACCTTGACCTTAAAGGTAGGGACATATGGGTCTTTGTCGCGACACATCGTCTTGATGTGATAGACATTTATGCCTAGTTATTTTAAAATCCTTCGACGCATGACAAAGTTACAGCCCGGACACAAATGTGTGTACCTAAAAACTCTTACTTTGATGAAATGAACTTCAAAATGGAAGTGTGACCTTGACCTTTGAGGTAGGGAGGTGATTATTCGACGCGTGCTGTAGACATTTATGCCAAGTTATTTTACAATCCTTCCATGCATGACAAAGTTACAGCCCGGAAACGATTGTGTGTACCTATTAATTCTAACTATGATGATATGAAACTCCAAAATAATAGTGTGACATTGACCTTTGAGGTAGATACGTAATTCTTAAACGTGACACATTATCTTAATGTGGTTGACATTTATGCCTCGTTATTTTAAAATCATTCAATGCATGACAAATTTACAGCCCGGACACGAATGTGTATACCTATCTTCTCTAATTGCGATCATGTGAAACTTCAAAATGATAGTGTGACCTTGACCATTGAGGTAGGGACGTAATTGGATGCGACACATCGTCTTGATGTGGTAGACATTTATGCCTAGTTGTTTTAAAAACATTCAATGCATGACAAAGTTACAGTCCGGAACGAATGTGTGTACCTATTTCCTCTAATTGCGATAATGTGAAACGTGACCCTGAACTTTGAGGTAGAGACGTAATTCTTGAACGCGACACATCATCTTAATGTGGTTGACATTTATGCCAAGTTATTTTAAATAATTCAATGCATGACAAAGTTACAGTCCGGACACGAATGTGTGTACCTATTTACTCTAATTGCGATAATGTGAAACTTCAAAATGATAGTGTGACCTTGACCTTTGAGGTAGGGACGTGGTTCTTGGACGCGACACATCGTCTTGATGTGGTAGACATTTGTGCTTAGTTATTTCAAAATCTCTCAATGTATGACAAAGTTACAGTCTGGCACGAATTATGTGAGGACGCACAGACGGGCGGACAGACGGTGCGATTAAATTATTCCTCCCTCCGGGGCATAAAAAGTTTAAATCATTTAAAAATTAAGACAAAAGGGCCATGATGACCCTGGAATTACTCACCTGAATATAAAACTCTCCATGACAAGGAACAAGTAATATTGTTATCTACAAACAAAAGCAGTTATAAAATATAAATCTAAAACTGATACCACCAAGTTCATATTTGTATCTGAATAAAGTGCATGTGTACAAACATTACTGGTTGTTATTGCTAAAAGATGTGTACAATTATAAGAAAAATCAATCAACCCCGGGGGCCCGGGGATGGGCCAACTTTGACCCAAGGGCTTTTATCTGAACAAACTTGGTAGACACCTATAAGAAGACTTCACATGCTGAGTAACTAACCTCTATCTCTTTGGATTTTTAAAGAAGATTTTTGAAGTTTTTTATAATTTAAAAGGTGTGTAAAAGGTGTGAGAAGTTGTATTTTGTATGTTTTGAAAAAAAAACTGGATTTATTGTGAATTATTTTGCTTGGATTTATATGCGATTTATACTGATAGATTCTTGACAAAACTCTGCAGAAGATGGTAACATTAAATTTATGAAATAGGTTTTCATTAAAGGGTTATAGACAAAATATTGATAACCAATTGACTGTTTCTTTGTTCAACATACATTTATTGGAAATTATTTGAAAAGCTTGGACTTAAACACTAACAAAGAAGTGATATTTATACCTTTAGGCACAGTTTAGATTGTTGACCATTCAACTACTAGCATATAATTGTTCATAACTGTTTCTATCAAGCTGGGGTGAACAATTGAAGAGCTAACTGTAGTTTTGTTTCAAATAATACTTGAAATAAATAGCATCAAAAACCATGGGTATAGATATTTCATTATATCGAATGTGTATAGGATGGTTTTGTTGTGACCATTAACATGTAAAATTTTACCTACAACATCATATGTGAATTGTACAAATACAAAATCAGCAAATATATGTTGTATTGTGCGCTCTGTCAGTGTCATCAGGAATAGTGCTCCTAGCATGTACATTATTATACAGACAGAATATATATGAAAACATTACTATTAATCATGACGTTTGCTCCAGGCCCATCAAAGCAATATGCTTTAAAAAACAGGAACAAGTATCAACACTCTACCAACTTATGATGAAACCACAAGTACAAGTTTGTACATATTTTTAACTGAACGGTTACTTATCCTATCATCGGATGTTGAACTTAATCCAGGACCATCTGCAGAGACTCAATCTATTCTCGATGCCATTGCAGCTTCTAACATTAAAACCTCAAAAGAAATTTATGAAGTAAAACATGAAATTCTGTCAGTCAAGTCGGAAATTGTGAGTGCAAAAATGAACTATCATCAATACGAGAAAGATTAGATACTGTTGAGGATTGTCAAAAAATAACAACTGAAAAAGTGAATGAACTAGACAATAAAATGTACAATTTTGAATACTCACATGACATTGTTGTAGATGATATAGATGCACTGGACATGAAATTTGAAAAACATTGTGACATGTGTGATCAACTAGCAGATCAGATTGATAAGTTATTTACAACAAGAATTTAATCAGAATATTTGGTCTTATTGAACAATACAATGAAACTGATGACACCTTGAAATCTTTGATTAGGAAGTCAGTTCTTGATGTTGCCTGTCCTGATATAAATATTGATGATAAAGATATCATTTTTGCAAAAAGAATGGGTAGACAAGATAATGAACTTTCACGAATGGTGCTTGTTAAACTGACTGACTTCAACACTAAACTGAACGTATTAAAAGGCCGTGAGTCACTACGAAATATTGGTATTCGTGGTGCAAATGATTTGACAATAAGGCAGCAAAACACACTTAAAAGTCTAAAAGCAAAAGGTCAAAGGGGTATTTTAAAGGTGGTCGTTTACATATCATACCAAGAACAAACGAGAATGATAGCTCAGGGATACAGAATGGTGTGCAGACGAGAGTTTTTTAAGAGAGTCAATCGTTCAATGTCTCAACACTATTCAGATATTGAAAATAGACATGACGTAAGCACAGACACTATCGTACTAAGCCAGTCTCAAACAAGTTCACTATAGGGTTCAGGTCAAGGTGCCATACAAGATATAACATTTTAGAATAGAATATTGAGGGTTTAAGCAGTAAAGTAGAGAATGATTTATTCATTTATTATATAAACCAGTTTGATGTGATTGGATTAACAGAAACTTGGGAAACTGATCGTTATAAAGCTGATAGTATTTTCCTAATTTTGCCAAATTCATTTGTCCTGCAAAAAATTCAAATAAGGGTGGCCGAAATATGGCAGGTGTTATTGTCATGATAAAAGACTATCTGACCAGGCTTATTAAACAAATTTGTAACAGCTTTAAATTTGGTGTTATGCTAAATATTGACAAAGAATTATTTGGATTTGCATCAAATATTTTGTATGCCTGTGTTTACATGCCACCAACTGGT